GAGAGAGAGAGAGAGAGAGAGAGAGAGAGAGAGAGAGAGAGCCCCAAGTTCTCATTGTTTCTATCCATAAGAAAAACTAGCAAGTATCATGGCAAGTGAAGAAGTCGGGGGTGGAGAGGAAGCTGAGGTTTGACAGAGTGTAAATCAGCCAGTGGAGGAAAGGATGGTGGGAGAAATTAATCTTCCTTAGGTAAATGGCCTCTTCCGGGAGATGAAAGCCCACTGTGGTTGGAGCATGGGGACCAGGGAAGGGAGGAGGTGAAATAAGCATGCATATAGACATCCAAGAACTGAGATTTAGCTATTATTTATATTAAAAGAATTGAGGTGAGGGGAGACCCAGGTTGGCCCTGTGCTCCTGTGCTCAGGTGATCCTCCTGCCTCAGTATCCTGAGGTCGCTGAGCTGGTAAATGTGTCTGAGATGAAATGGGAGATTAGCTAAGGGGTTTTCACAGGGGAGCACAGAGAACAACTGGTGATCTAAAGGTCCCTAATCTGTTGTGTACAGAATCGATTAGAGGGCAGGGGACTTGTGTGGGAGGTGGAGGGGGGAGGGGTTTCTCTCCCACAAGAGCTCCTCAGCACACAGAACAGTGAAGTTTCAGAGGAGTGAGTGGATTTGGAAGCTTGTCCGGAGGTCATCCTGACAGGACTGGTGAGGACTGTAAAGGATGCCAGGCACATAAGCTGAAAGCCCTCGGCAGCTCAGAGCGGCTGGGCTGCCGTAGACCTGCAGGCTCATCCACTTTCCCCTTCTGGGTTCTCTCCACACTGCAGCCCTGTTGAGTGCCCTGGAGTTCTACCTGGCCATGGAGATGCCTAGACAACTCATAAGCAGACTGATGGGTGAACCTCTGAGGCTGTCAGAGAAGGTTGTCATGTGGGTCAGCAAACTGAACTTGAAAGATCCGACTGCTGTGATTGCATCCTACACCTTCCATTCTTCTGGGAGTCGTGATGGAAGAGAAAAGTGAACTGAAAGTAACTCTCTCTGACTTGTCCTTCCGGATAAGATTCCCCTGCTCCCGCCTTTGGATGACATCAGACCCCTGGTCCTTTGGCCTCTGGAACTTATATCAGTGTCCCTCCAGGGGTCTCTCAGGCTTTTAGCCTTGGACTAAAGAAGACATAGTGGGTCCCCATCCCCATTTCTGAAGTTTGTGGCTTTATAGCCTGAGCCACACTGCCCATTTCTCTCCAATGGCCTGAAGTAAGACCAAGCCTCTGTGATCTTCTGATCCCATCAAAGAAATATATTTATCCAGTATTGTTCCCTGGAGAACATGATCAATACTTGACAATACCTCATTTCCCCCTAGTCACAAGGCACTCCAGGGACACCATTCACAGGTCCTTCCACTTCACCATGGGGAGTGGGTTCCTTGAGGCAGGATGCCGCCGGTCCCGAGCATAGCAGCTGTCTGGTAAATCCATGCCATGAATGATCCAACCGGACTCTGACCTGCTCTTGCTCCAGTTGGTGGGGGAAACCATCCCCTGCACATTCTCCTCTCAACATCCATCTCCCCTGGGACCTCCTTTTAAGAGAATCTCTAGAAACTTCTAGCTGTTTCTTGCTCCAAAGGAGGTTGCAGCCCCTCTCTTCTTTTATAGACCACATCACAAGAGAATCAGGCAAGTCCTAGATGTCCCAATGTCAGGATCTTTTGGATGAGTTATGAATGGCTTCTACACAGCAAAGGAGACACTAAGCAAGAAGCTGGTAGGGGTAGAGAAAGGGGGTGTTTCAAAGGGATAGAAGCAGGTTTGAGGGAATAGTCTCAATTCCTAGCAATCACTTCTCTCAAAAATCCTAATCCATGGAGGCCTTTTAGCCACTTTCAGATTACACACACACACACACACACACACACACACACACACACACACACACACACACACACACAGTATTGGATGGGAATGAAAACATTACAAGTTCTCAGCTAGGGGAGGTTGGGAATAAAGCTCTAGGTGTGTCTACAGTTGACTGTGTAGTTGTGTAAGTATTTTGCCATCTATGCACATAAAGATAATGAGTGAGAGTTAAACTAAATGCCAGCCATGGGAACTGTAGCTAGAGGTGAGCATTTTACCTGGGAAGAAGGCCAGAGGACCAGAGATGCTGTCACCTCGAATAGGCAGTCAGTGATGTTCAGTTGCAAGGAACAGGACATAATAAGGATCAGTTCTCGATTATCCACAAGACACCGGACGTACTCCTGAAGTCTGACTCTGCAAAGTAAGGAAAAGTGATCTCTCTTCTGTGCCTAGCCCGGCGCTCCGCTTTCCTGCAGTTCCAGGCACACAGACAGCTTCGGCCAGCCGTGTGCTCCAGGCACCATCAGAAGGCTACCAGTCAACAGGGAGGGGGTTCTCCTTAAAAGGAGGTGGAGGCAGGCCGGGAGGGGGGATAACAAGGGAAATCTGTGGCTGATATGTAAAATTAAATTAAATTATAAAATTTTTAAAAAAGGAGGTCCAGACTTATAAGGGGTGACTTTATAGCTTATCCCTACTTTTTGATGTAAAGCATGTAACAGAGGAAAATATCCTTGATTTAGAAATTACAGCTTTCTATTTTTAGCATGATGTGTCTGTGTTCAAGCACTGGGCTTCTTAAACTTCTGTGTCAATCAAAATCACCTTGTGGTTTGAGTGTGGACACATCCCCACAAGCTCACGTGTTTGAACATGTGGTCTCAAGCTGGGTGGTACTGTTTTAGAAGGCGGAGGAACCATTGTGGAGCCTTGCAGGAGGAAATGGGTCACTGGGGGAGAGCTTTGAGGGTTTGTAATCCAACCCATTGTCCGTCTGCCTCTTGATAGCAGACACAGTGTAAGAGCGGCCTCTGAGCTCCTGACTCCACATCCCCTCCATGGTGGGCTGCATCCATCCCTAAACTGTGAGTCAACATGCCTGGGTGACTACCTTCTTTTCATATGGCTAGTGCTCATGGATTTCCACTTGGAACTGTAATATTCCTTTTGAAACAGAGTCAGCTGACCCAAGTTCTATCTTTAGGACCCACATGGTAGAGGGGAGAGCTCCTTCAAGTTGTTCTCTGAGCATGTGTGTGCGCACGCGCACGCACATGAGCGCATACACATACAAACACACACACACACACACACACACACACACACAAATGTAATAAAGTTTTTTTAAATTAAGGTTTTTCTTTCAGGAAACTACACTTGAATATAGTGTTTTGCATCTGGGGAAACTAACTTTTGTTCAAAGAGAGACGAAGAAACTGGACAATCCTAACTTTAAAGTGGTCGTTACTGGCTTATCATTTAGGTTTTGTGAAAGAAGAAACTGGTTTCACTGTGACCTTTATTCTTAAGGAAGCAAGGACGAGTCCTCATGTTCTGAGAAGCCCAGTTCTTCCCTACCCTAAAGCCATGTTGACAGTCCCTCTCTCAATTTCTGGGTCAAAGTGAACTAGCCCCTAAGATGGAGCCGCTAAACCAGTTATTTGCAAACAATACTGATACCACTTGGATAGATGTGCACTGCCCAACTTTTTCTGTTGAGAACTGTCCACCTACAGAAAATGATCTTGACAAAACAGTCTGGTTTGATCATTCATTTTGCTTATGTGGCAAGTGTATGCAGATAACCTCCTTGCTGAGCTGACATTTGCACCTGGGATACACGTTTGTGTTTACACACTATTGGACTGGAGGCCCTGTACATACAGATGGTACCCTGTGATACACGATTGTGTTTACATGCTAATGGACAGAAGGCTCCGTACATACAGATGTTACCCTGTGATACATGTTTGTGTTTACATGCTATTGGACAGAAGGCTCCATACATACAGAAGCAATATTTGTAAAACATGCAAACTTCTGTATCTAGAAAAAATAAAACAGGTTCTTGTTTTAATAATTACGTATAATAACAATCAGTCAACTTTTTGTTGTTGGTTTGTTTTGTCTTGTTTCTACATAAAAGCCTCTAATCATGCAGATGTTATGCTAGGTCAGAAAGAAAATAAGGTGGTTTGGGGAAAACTAAATGTCTAGGTTGTCTTGTCCAGGCTGTCTTTGCCTCACAGATAAGGATCCCACTTAACAAGAGCACACAAAGCAGATGTGAGAAAGGAACACTTATTTAAATGCACCCAGCCATGGGTGCATGCTCACACCAGACCTTTAAGGACATGTGACTGCCCACTCCTACCCACCTTGGCTCTGGAAGCCCTTGACACACAGTGACTTCAGTAGCTGTTAGAATCCTGAGTAATGGACAATATATGGTGGGGTAGTGGAAGCTTCTCCCAGAGCCCAGGGCTCTCACACTCTGTCTTGCTTTAACAGTCATTTAACAGAAAATCCATCCACAGTATTTATGGAGCAATTGGCTTTTGTTATTTCACCTTTAAAGGATTGAAAAAATCGGTGGGTAAAGGTGCTTGCAACCAATTCTGATGACCTGAGTTCAATCCTGAAAACTACACAGTAGGAGAGAACCAGATCTTGCAACTTGACCTTCACACACACACACACACACACACACACACACACACACACACACACACACACACACAAATGCTCATGGGCCCTAAATAAAATTATTTTAATGTAATAATAAATTAGGCTGAAAAATCAGCAGAGCCTATAATTCTAGCATCCAGGAGGCAGGATTGTTAGGAGTTTGATGCCAGCCAAGGCTAAAGTGTGAGACTGTCTCAGAAACATAAACAATAAAGAAGCCTGAAAAAGGTATCTATCCACCTGCCTCAGAATGACTTTGTGAGTGTGCAAACATGTCCATCCACACGTGACAAGTTACTGAAGCATACCACCATCTTCTCCCAACTGCCACACCCAGCAGAACAGGAACATACTCACATGTTGGTAAAATATATTTTATTTGTCCATACAAAGAAAAGGTATGAATTACCAGAATTTCATTTGCCTAGAAACATCTTTCTCTGTGTAAAATTAATTTGTGTTATACATAGGACAAAATACTTGATTTAATTTTTTTTTGTACATATTGGCTATTCTACCATCCATGTTATAGAAGACAAGCTGCTGGAACTTGCACAGCATTTTTGATTACTGGGCTGAATGAAACTCAGTCATAAATTAATGTTATAAAAATGAAAACAACAACAACAACAAAAGAACTAACCACACCTTCCAAACTCAGGAAGCATTCTTTCTGGAAAACCGGAAGGAGAACTGACACTGATCTCTGTACCAGCACCTTAGAAACTAATGTGGCTGTGGAGCCTTCCATTTTCCTTTCTTAGGAAAACAGCCGGGCAGGATCTGCAACTGGGTTTCCTCCAGGGGCTCAAGCGCATCTGTCACTCAAAATGACTCCCGAAGAGTCCCCTCCCCTGCCCTCCCCCCAGAACGTCTCTCCTCCACCATCCAATGAAGAGTTTATTCCTTAGTCATTCTGCCTGACATACCTTGGTAGGTACCACAGAGCAAGTGAACACACCTGCATGCAAACATCCCCAAGAAGGCTTCCCATGGATAGGAATAGTAATAATAATAATCTAAGTTTTTGTGGGCTTTTTTTGTTTTGTTTTGTTTGTTTTCAAACAAGAGAAACTGTTGAGAAATAAAGTACACCAGGAATACGTCAGAGCTTTCCTACATAAACTGGAAGAAACTGCAAACATGTGGTGGGACCAACTGCCAAGACATGACCTGGTGTCTGTCTCCTAGCAGCTCAGAAGTGAGGCGCAGTAGCTCTGCAGATGGCCAGGACAGGAAGAGACCTACGGCTTAACTTCCCACGTTGCCTAACTTCTCCGAAAAGAGGCCATGTGGGTCAGTAATAACTATCACATGATGCAGCAGCATCCTGGGCAGATGCAGCATCCGGATCAGTCAGGAACACTGTAAGCAATCAGGGCCTGATGAAGAGGCGCACATGCTGTTTGATTTATCTGACGAACACTGAAAACCTCCCCCTGCTCCATTGGTACTAATTACTGACACCTGCTTAGAGTCAAGGATTTGACCGGGAACAGAATCTTGACTCACTTCAGGGTTCATGACTAAATGACCTCCTTCTACCTCAATGTGTCCTTTTTTTTGTTATCATCTAAAGCCAGGCGTAAACAGCTTAATTTAAAAAAAAAAAAAAGTGTCCAGCTTGGGAAGCAGGCAGGCAGGCTCACACATTTTCCTCCCACTTGGCTGGGTACCATTCTCTGAACTCTCCACACTTCTGCTTCATGAGTTACATCAGACTCTGCAAGCAGCCAGAAAACCTTGGTGAAGGCCTCCTCTGGCCGGGAGCAAGATGCTGCTCTCTGTGAGGGAGGGTGTCCTCCTTCTGATTTCAATCAAGTGTGGCGAGCACCTTTTACACAGGTGTTTCCACACTCGAGCAGCCAGCCAGGAGATGCTAGGATTGCTGTGTGGGCCTAGTGCAGGCGATACACTACGGTGTATGGAGAGAAGAAAAAGGAACAGATAACTGTGAAATGGGCTGGGGATATGGCTCAGTGTTTGCCCAGTGTGCAACAGGCCCACAAAAGGAATGGATGTAACATCTAAAGAATAAACATAGCTGATGATCACCTTCTCCCCGCTCTAAATCTGCCCAGGAACCATTTTGCTGCCCAGAATAAGCTAATTCAAGCTGGGCTATAACTTGTTGGAAATCACAAATTTGCTTACCAGAATATCCCTATAGACCATGGACACCACTCACTAGTTTCTAAAGACACCACATCTTCTCTTTCCATGTAACTTGGCTCATCCAGTCAAGTTTGCCCACAAAGTGTCCCCAAACAATCCTTTGTAAATGTCACAGTGCAGCCATTTCAACCATCCGTGCATTCTTGATGAAAGTCTAACTCAGATAACAATCCTTCTGGGGTAGAAGCATTCTGGTTTAGGAAGCTGAGGATTAACTGAATATATCACGATGTCATGTCACTACACAGCGATTCAACTGCCACTAACAGGCCAAAGAACCTCCCAACACAGAGGTACAGGGAGAATCGTCTGCGTATCTTAATAGCAGAGCTGGCAACTTTTCTGCTAAGGCCCCCACTGACGGTCTCAGGGGAAGCTGCACAAGTGTCAGGCTTGAGTATCTACAAGCACCAGCTTTCCCAGCCTGGGCCCTGGAGGGCCATCCTTCAAACCCTGCTGTGGTCATTGCCTACAGAGCATCTCTGGGGTGGCCTAGGCATTTGGCTGCAGTGCTGGGCATCCTCTTCCTCTGCCAGGCTGCTCGTCAGATCTGGGTGTTTTTTGTTTTTTCTCTACTGAGGCCATGAGCCTACTGTCCAGCGCCAGTTGGGTCTACACTCAGCAATACCTCTCTGAACGCTGATATTGAAGGATACATCTGACCCCTATGGGTCTCAACATCCAGCACCCTAGGTTTGCGCCAGTGGCTCTGTATGGAAGCCTGGGGAGGCTCTTTGGTGCGTCCCAGCAGAACTGTCTGACTGAAGAGAGGAGCATGGTGTGGTCACTCGTATGCAAATGAACATCACCTTTTTTTTGTAAAGCAGCGCTGGAGCATCTTACTTGTGGGATCTGGGGGAGGGGTCAATTGTTTGTATACACTTATAGCTAGTCAAAATGGACAGACGGGTAGAGCAGAAGGGGATTCCGGATCATGAGGACACGGGTCCCTGTAAGGGAGGCGAGTGAAACGCACCCTGGTGCTACATCAGTGGGGGTGATGAACTGCCTATGTGAACTCCACCCTCAGACTACAGCATGCTGAGGCTGCTCAGTGTTTCCAGGAGGTACCCAGGCAAGACGACACCACAAACCAGCCAAGACCCAAGGAGATAGCAGGTGGAGGACCCAAGGTGATCGAAGGCTGAATACCCGTAACGAAAATCTCAAGTTGTGCTTTTCTTCTTCTTAAATACAACGGGGAAAGGGGTGGGGGTGGGGTGGGGGGAACACGGAAGCACCATCGATTGTGAGGGACAGAACAAAATATGGGAGTTAAACACTTTGGAATGTTAACAGACCGTGACTCGAACTCTCTGCAGAGTGTGGCTAGGCAGCTTAGTGAATTAATTGCTTGTGAATTAAAAATAAATTATTATAAAATAGATTTCTGTACATTTTACATACATATACTCTCTCTCAATAGATAAGCCCCGAAGGGAGACTCAGTCCCAGCCGAAGTCGCGGCCGGTCATCTGGTAGAACTTGCGGTTGAAGGGCCGGTAAAAGTCACGCAGCTGCCGCAGCACCTCGCGCGCGATGGCGGGGTGCGCGCGACCCTTGGTCTTGCCCAGGCAGTGCGGCTTGCCGCTGCCCTCAGCCTTCTTGAGGCACGGGAAGCCCTTGGTCTGGTTGAAGTAGAAGTGCTTGTCGGTGATGATGCGCTTGAGGCCCAGGAAATCCTGCACGCGGCGCAGCTCCCCTGCCGGGTCGCTCACCAGCCGCTCCCCGCTCACGAAGAGCATCTGGCCCAGCGGGAAGTGGCGCAGCCAGGGCTCCAGGTGCTTGGCGTACAGGCCGATCTGGATGGCGCTCCAGGATGTGTCGATGAGGCCCGCGCTGCGGTTGCGGAACGTCAGGCTCTCGAAGCTGGGGATGTCCGGCCGCTTGGACAGCGTCTGCGTGTAGTCCGAGATGGCCCTGGTCACCGGGTCGCGCACCACCACGATGAGCTTGGTGTCCTTGGACATGGCGGAGATGCGCGCGGGTGCCTCCCGGGTCACGAAGTAGCTGGGCGTCTTCTCCATAGTGATCTGTCCCTCCAGGGTTCTGGGCATCAGGTCCCTGCGGGAGGCAAAGAAATAATCTGGGGTCAGAAAATGGAGCTTCTAGCTAGGCGGTGATGGCGCACACTTTTAATCCCAGCACTCTAGAGGCAGAGGCAGAGGCAGGCCGATCTCCATGAGTTCAAGGCCAGCTTGGTCTAGGGAGCAAGTTCCAGGACAGCCAGAGCTACACAGAAAAACCCTGTCCCTCTTATAATTGAGGCCATTTTTCAAAACAAACATGAAACAGAATTTTAGAGGTAGGGTGCATTAATGCGACCCCAACCCCAGGCTTGGAGGCCACATAGCTCCCAGCTGAAGCATCTTCTCTGTAGGCCAAAGAACAAGGCCAGTTTCTCTGAGGGGCTGCTGTGGGTGTTGCCTCTCCTTACCTTAACTCATCGCATCTGGTTTTCACAATGCCCCGTCCCCCCCCCCACACACACCTGATAGGTCTTTCCCCAGAAATGGTACTGTCCATCAGTCCTTCACATGTCCACCAAGCCCAGACCGTCTTGGGCACCAGAAATGTGACTTGACAAAATGGCCAAAAGCAACCAAGCAGGTGATATCCAAAAACTCGATGAGGTCAGTATAAACAGAAACATACCACATGAAAATCTCAAGACACAATTCAAGAAACTTCCAAAAAAAAATCTTAGATTCCATTAGAGAAAAATAATTACAAGATCTCTACCAGAGTATTAATTTCACTTAAAGCACCAGATAACAGTGTTGACACAGTCAACACAGGTCATGATATCTGGACTGGATTTTTGCGTTGGTAAATGACAGTCTTTTTGACTACGTACTTCAGTGATGTGGCACCTTGGTTACAAGATGTGAAAACAAAAGGCAGATGAACTAGCCACCAGTAGTTTATGGTATGCCATAGATTCTGATATGTGACCATGAAATGACTGCTATGAAGCTGGGGGTGGGTGGGGGCCAAGCCCGGCATCTAGGATTGAGGAGTCTGGATCCTGTTAGTCAACTTGAGGACATTTTCAGTAAATTGGATGAAGAAGCTCTAGGGAGTAAAACAGCACCCATCGAAGACAAGCAAAGGGGAACACGAGAGAAAGAGAATCGAGGAACTCTGGGTAAGGAGGGTGGCAGACAAGAATGAGAACATGACATACAGACTTGCCTATCTCTGCAGGGGGCAAATTGCAGGACAGAGAGAAAGAGGGGAGCTGAGTGATATGTCCTCCTATGGTGAGAGGTCCAGATGTATGGACAATTCTAAAAAGGCTCCATGAAGTCAGAAGCCATGGGTATCTCCCCCCAACCCCTCACCAACACACACACACACACACACACACACACACACACACACACACACACACACACACTGTTCAATCCCCAGTGCCTAACATGGTGCACAGAACCCCAGCAGGTGTCCGCTAAATACACATAAACAGCGAGGGTAAGTGGTCTTGCTGATAGGTAAGCCCCAAATGGAAACAGTAAAGGTAAATGTCTGCGCTTTGTTTCACAGTGTGAGTGAGCTGGACTGGGAATCCCTCTCTACTGCTTCACAGCTGTAGGGCCAGGAGATGAGTTAATCGACGTCTCTGAGCTTTGGTACCCTAATGTGCAAAACAGGAATAATTCCATCTACCTGCTGAGTTGTTGAGAGAATTAAAAAGGAGGATTTCAGAGGCACAGCAATCTAGCTTCAGGCATGAAGGATGTGGGTCTGGAGGTCAGGCCTAGGTTCAGCTCCTGCTTTTGTTGCTTTTTACCTTGACTTTCTTATTTTGGAGAGGGGGGGGCATCTCCTCTTCATCTGTGAAAATGGAGATAGCAGTGGCTACCTCGTCAGTGTTTGATGAGGATAAAAATAGGCAGTAATCACTATGTAGAGCCTACATGACATGCTCACCGTGTCTGGTGCATGCCCGATAATATCACTCTAGCTCCATCATTTATTATCCCCACACACATGGTTCCTGCCGGGGGAGCTCTATCCAAGGAGGTACATTAAATAACTAGGCACTAGATCTAAAGTCACCTGTTAGCTGTAGGGTAGAGATTCTGACTGATTTTCTCCTGGGCACAAGGATGGAAAAAAAAAGAGAGAGAAATTTTCACTTTTTTTTTTGGTAAATATTTCCTTCTCAGCAGGCAGAACATTCTAAATGTCTAATTTTAAGTCATTGTACTGCCTGCGGCAGGAATCAGAGCCCATTTTTAGAAATGACGGCATAAAGTTTATTCCATAAGACAGAAAGTTTGGTTTGCTGGAGAGCGCAGCTCCTCCCAGGACAAGGCCACTGGGAGTTCCACACAAGCACGCTTCACCTGGTCTAGAGTAAGCTCCTCACAGCCCCGCTGGGTGCTAAAGCCAGATTAACCCACTTTGCCCACTGAGTGGAGGGTAGTGGTGCCATCAGGCCGAGGTAATCAAGGATTAAGGAGTCCCAGCTCTCAACTTACTTAGCACATCTCTAAAAAGTGGGTCAGCTCAGACACGGGCCAGGTTTCTTCTCTGTGCTGAGCTGTCTGCGACTGGCCAGCTTATAAGAAATCCAGACTCGAAATGAAAGCAAGATGGCCATGCTGAGAAGCAATCCAGTGTCCTGGGTTGTTTCTTCCCAACCCCTCCCCCCAACCCCTGGGTGGCCAGAGCCACCAGAGATCAGAGGACTCAGGATACCTGTCTTCAGAGATGCATTCCAAGCTGACATAGACTTTGAAGTCTGACCCTGGTGTACCTCTCAAGACCACAGTGTATTAAAGACTGTGTGACCCTGGATGGGTGACCTGCCCATCCATGTGGCAGCTTCTGCAGCTGAACACGGACAGCAAGGATGGTGTCCTGCTCTTACAGGTGTTTAGGAAGCTGATCTTCGTACCCAGACTGGTGGTGCCCCATTGGCACTAGGGAAACACTACCTACCCATCACCTTCTGCCAGGATCTTGGCAAGACAGAGCGGAGTGTCTGCACGCAGAGCACTGGTCACTCCGCCAGCTCTACCCACAGACAGCAATGGATACAAGGATCTGCTCTCAGCCTGCCTGGCTCCACAGCATCCCTTAGGAGGGCCTGGTGGAAACTGAACAAAATGTCTCCATTGTCATTTGTGAATAGGAAGCCGTACAGTAGGAGCAGTGAAAAGTCCCCGAGTTATGGGCGCTTACTGTGCCTGAACACCTCTAGTCTGCTAGAGCATTGTGGGACATTGGCTGGGGAAACCACTGTCTCCAGACACGCCTCACAGGACACTCCTCAAGCTATAGGACTCTTGAGAGGCAGGACATACTTCTGTGACTGTGACACTCAGTCCCTGGTGTGACAGAATCTGAGGCTGCTCTCCCCCGAGAGTTTGATGCTGATGGTGGATAGTCAGAAGTGTGTGTCGTCTGGGTTCTCCACCACTAAACGCTTCCAGAACCCCCTCTGCAGACTTTGGGCCCATCGATAGGCTCTGGAGCTCTGACGGATCTGGCATTGATCTCCCACACACAGCTACAGACCAGCCTAAGGGAAGGTTCAGAGGCCTGACTCAAAATTAGTCAAGGGCTGAACCTTTGTTTCCAGCGTGCAGGGAACAGAGCACCACCTAAGCACATGAAGAACTCCTTACACAGGACTTTCCAGGTGCTTCCAGTAAGTCCTCTCCTTCTACTTGGAGCTGACCTTTTCCTCTCATCCCACCAGCAGGTTCTGAAGCCAGGTTCTTCCCACGCACTACACACATGCATGCACACATGCATGCACACACCTTCCACAACCTTCCTGAGCTCAACAGTGGTTCAGAGGAGAAAGGATAAACTAGCAGCCAGGGACAAGACCCTGCCCTCTGAGTAGGCTGCCTGCCCACCCCAGGCATCCCAGAGGCCACTGCAGCCCCAGGCTGGCCCCCACAGAGGCACATCCCATGGGGTAATTGAGATGCTCATTACGAAAGCCAGTTTCTCAAATGGATAGTCACAGCTAATAATTATGCTGTGCTTTGGAGGCTCACAAAGGAACTTTCACATGCATTATCTGATTTAATCCCTCACCACAGGCCTTTGAGGTAGGTATTGTAATCCCCAATTTACTTATGAAGAAGCTGAGTCTAAAGCAGAGAGGGTGATGCGTGGGTCACGGAGCTGGGACTGCTGGTGCACCCCATTCCACCCGTCCCCATCTCTCCCTGATGGTAATCCCTGGGTCTGAACAAGACTAAGAGTGTGTGGAGCTTGGCACGTCTCTTTTTAGATACCGGTGTGTTGGTAGATTAAATACCTACCCCTGGTTCACAGATTAGAATCTTAATGGTAGATACTTAAGTCCCAATCAGACCACTGCTGATCATAATTGTTCAAATAGGAGTCAGATTTCAAAACAATAAGCCTCTTTGGCTCACATATCCCCATCGTTACCTGCATTATAGGGTGCCTGGAAAATCACCAATGCTTCCAACAGCCCTGCCCTCCAGCACCCCTGGTTCATTCCCTCCTCTCCCCTTTACCACCTGGGTGGGTGAGTACACCTCTCTGAAAGCACAAAACCCTGGAACGCGTCATGAATCAAGGCTTGTGAAGCTGAGAGCACAGGCCGTCTCAGTCCAAGGCTAAGAAAGAGCCACTACCCATAGCGCATGCGTGGAAACGTCCCCTAGGATGGCCTGGGAGACACTGTCTTGGCATGTGTGCCTACCACGGAAACAGGGTGACAGGTAGCAGAAAGGATCTGTGCCTCCAGTGAAACCTGCAGAGCAAGGCAGGCTTGTCACCCAATCTTAAAGCCTTGAGATGCCCAGGAACTCCCAGGGACACCCGTAACCTGAAAGAGCTGTACCTCAAAGCAGTACATGGCAGGCTAGGCAGCCTGAGAGGGGCACAGGCTTTGACTCTGTGGGAATATTTACAAGGAAGTCATGTGTATCTCATTGCTGCCCAAGTTCTCCTCTAGGTGCACATCAGAACCACTGAGGGTGGTTTAACAAGGACTAAATGCCTGGGCTCCACCCACACAGACAGAAAGAACCAGGCCCTGGCTGGGCAGGGCTCCAGCATGGAAC